GGCGGCGTACGGCTGGGCCCGGTGAGGAGGGTGCGTGGCCCCCCTGCCGCCGCGCCCTGCCTTTGATCCTGCCGCGCAGTGCGTCCCCACGCGGATCTCTGGGCCCCGCGCGCCGGGCGGCGGAGCCGTGGTCATGCCAACCCAGCAGCCAGCCGCGCCGAGTACGGGTCCGCTCAAGCCCTCCCGGAGCCTTTCCGGCTCACTCTGTGCCCTGTTTTCCGATGCAGCCTCGGGATCTGGGATGAAGGCGGAGCTTGCTCCTCGGCCTGCGGTGAGTGAAAGTGCCTTCCTAGCCGCCTGTCAAGCGCTGCGCAGGAGGCTTTTCAGCTTCGTTCCGCCTCGCCTGCCATCCTGTTTCAGCTGATTTCTAAGTAAAGCCAGGACATGGTACAGTTCTTTCAACCCTACTGCATATGACCCTGACCCTGGCGAAGAACTTCAGTCCCTGTGGGATGCAAACTTGTGACAAGTAGCTTGTGGAAGTTAGGATTGAGGCGGATTAGGATTGTGAGACTCTTAGAAGCATCTGGTAGGGTTGCTGACCTGTGGGCTTGTTGGCAAAGAGCAGTATCCTATGTCTCTGTTCCAGGTAGGGGGCAGGGAGTTGACTCAAGAAGAGAAGCTGCAGCTTCGGAAGGAAAAGAAACAGCAGAAGAAGAAACGGAAGGAGGAAAAGGGGACAGAACCAGAAACTAACTCTGCTGTAGCTGCAGCCCGGTGTCAAGGTATGGGGGTCTTTTTTAAAGGGCTGTGGGGTGGGTAGAGGGATGTGGTGGAAAAGGGGGATACAAGACAAAGTTGGTTTGGGCCCAGGAGAAGGGGAGAGGTTTCTATAAACAGAGGCGCTCTGATGGGACAGATACCACCTATCTGGGGCTTGGGCTCCTCTTTCTTATACCTTTAGTTGGCTCAACCAGAGAACCTTCCGGATCTGGCAGTCAGTTGGGCCCTCCCGGAGAGAAAGTTCCAGCTGGTCGGAGTAAGGCTGAACTTCGGGCTGAGCGGCGAGCCAAGCAGGAGGCTGAGCGGGCCCTGAAACAGGCCAGAAAAGGAGAACAAGGAGGGCCACCTCCTCAGGCCTGTCCCAGCACACCTGGAGATACCCACTCAGGTAATTCCTCTTTATTTCTTTTAATAAAAGAAGTATTTGTTTATATTTAATTCTATTCGTTATTATTTTTTATTTTGACCAGAGAGAGAGAGAGAAAGGGAGAACGAAAGCCACAGGTCCAAGACTTGAATCGCAGTCTGTCATGTGGGAATCCAGCGCTCCTAATCACACCACATGCCAGCCCCAGTTTCCATGTATTTCAATACCCCTGTCACTCCTAATTTTCTTCTAAACTCAGTATTCCCCATAATGAAACAGCTCTCCTTTCATTCTCACTTTGGGATCCGGAGTTCAGAATTCTTCCTGCAACCCCATCCTACCCCTAGTTCATCTTCTACCACATTTTCTCCTGCTTTTCTCTCCCCATTTTATTTTTATTAGTGCCTTTAGAGCAAATTACCCATTTCAAGAGCTATGGTGTCTTGAAAACATAATCATTATCTTTTAGGAGTGAAGCGTCTCCCTGAGTACGTTCAGGTTGATGATCCTACGCTCCTGCGAAGGCTTGTTAAGAAACCAGAGCGGCAGCAGGTAGGAAGGCGTTTGGTGCATGGCCAGAAAGAGCCTAGGGACACAGTCTAGAGGGTGGAAAGGTTTGGGGCAAACTGAGACCTTAGAGAAGGATGGGTATTTGGGTGAAACTAGTCTTGCTGTTCACTTCCTTTTCAGCTTCAGCCTCTAAATTTTTAAACTCTGGGCCATTGGTCCTATTGCCCTGTTTTATCAAGGTTCCTACACGAAAGGATTATGGATCCAAAGTCAGTCTCTTCTCCCACCTACCCCAGTACAGCAGACAAAACTCTCTGACCCAATATATGAGGTAGGACTCTATGAAATTGTCTTCACTTTTACACCTGAGAAACTTTAGTAAACCAGTATTGGAAGTGACTAGAAATTTGAGATGGTGTCTGTGGGAAGAAATACAAACTCAAGGCAAGACGCTAGAGGAAATGGGGTCGTTGATGCTAGCAAAGGGGTAGGTGGGTAGGAGGTGCTCATGCTCCCTTGCAAAGTGTGTGACACCGACATCCCATCAGCATCCCATCCTCTGTGATCCACCCAGCCATGGTGCGACTCGGCCTGCAGTACTCCCAGGGCCTGCTCAGTGGCTCCAATGCCCGGTGTATTGCCCTGCTCCATGCCTTAAAGCAGGTATGCCTGTCCCGTTCCCTCTTAGGACCCAGCCCTACCTTCCCAACACAACCCTAGCTTCCCTCACTCAAGGTAATTTTCCGGGGGGAAGGAGGGATCAACTACCACCCTCAGAACACTCCTCAGTAAAGCTTGCTCCACCTGCTTTCAGAAACCTTTATTAGGGAACATTTTTGCTGACCAATTTGTGTACTCCATAGGTGATTCAAGATTACATAACGCCTCCTAATGAGGAGCTCTCAAGGGATCTTGTGAATAAGCTAAAACCCTACATCAGGTAAGGACAGGCACTGCCAGTCTGCCTCCACCTCATGTAGTCCCTTTCCACTCTTTCTCTTCTGTTCTGTTTTCTTGTTTGCTCTTCTTTTCAAAGAAATTCTTTGAAAATGCAAAAGCTTTTTAAGTTGTAACAAGTCCCACAAATGTAAAGCATTATTGTTGTAGCTTCCTGACTCAGTGCCGTCCCCTGTCAGCCAGCATGTATAACGCCATCAGGTTCCTTAACAAGGAGATCACCAGTGTGAGCAGCTCCAAGCAGGAAAAGGAGGTATGACTATGAGGAAGGAGGAAGGCATAAACCATGGGTAGTTACAGAATATGTTCAGAAGTCCCAGGGAGGCCCACGTGAGCCATTTTGCCCTCGTCAAGGGTTAAGGAAGTTTGGGCCGTCTGAGTCATGCCACCTTTGGGGTCCTGTTGGTCCTCCTTTGGGCCTATCATGTACACATATTCGAACATCTGGCATGATAATCAGAAGCAGAGGGTCCATTTCTTGGCTCCTAAGGATTTCCCTCCATTTAGGCTAAGTCAGAACTTCAAAAAGCCATTGATCAGTATGTGAAAGAGAAGATCGTGCTTGCAGCTCAGGCGATTTCACGCTTTGCTTACAAGAAGATCAGCAATGGAGATGTGATCCTGGTGTATGGATGGTATGGTCCAGACCTTATGACAGGAAGTGGGGAGTAGAATGGGCTGGCCATAGTCAGTGACATTTACAACATAGTCCTCCTTTCTGTTCATTCTAGCTCATCTCTGGTGTCACGAATTCTTCAGGAGGCTTGGACTGAGGGCCGGCGGTTTCGAGTGGTAGTGGTAGACAGCCGGCCGCGGCTGGAGGGAAGGCACATGCTACGTTTTCTTGTCCGTGCTGGGGTCCCTGCCTCCTACCTACTGATTCCTGCAGCCTCTTATGTGCTCCCAGAGGTGAGGGCAGAGGAAAGGAACTACCAAGTTGGAGGTGAATGGGTATAGTGCTACAGACATAACCCCACTTTTCCAAGGTAACGATTACTTAAAAATACTAGCATTATGTGACCCTGTTTATATTTAATAACAGGAGCACTTGGCCAGCCAGTGGCATGATGGTTAAGATGGCTGGATCCCACATGCTGACTGTCTGGTTTGAGCCCCAGACCTCACAACTTGGAAAATAGAAGATAGCAGGTGGCATGGTAGTTAAAGTGCTAGACTCCTACATGGCCAGCTACGGTTCACGTCCTGAACTTGGTGGCTTAAAAAACACGTCAGGAGGGAACCAGCAATTAGCATAATGGCTATGTCGCTGGACTCCCACGTAGTCAACTGCGGTTCGCGTCCCAGATCCGGTGGCTTAAAACTCATGTCGGGCATGTGTGCGTGCGTGCCCAAGATCCCCAGAGGAGAATGGAGGAGAAGGGATTGCGGTGTGACCATCCCCCCTGGGGGGTGATTTCTCGCTTTCTGTCTCTATGTCTCTTTGTCTGTCTGGCAAGTGCACACGCCCTATAGCGAAACCTCTCAAAAAAAAAAAAATTAAAAAGTAAGTCAGAGAAGCACCAACTATTACAGGAACATTATCTTAAACTCGTAACTACCAAGAGGGAACAGGACAAAAGTAACTTAAAAGTTCAGTTTGTGGGAGGTTTGCTGGGTCAATGAAGAGCCATCATTTTAAGATGTGTTACCTACTCTCTTAATATTCTTGTTTTGGATAGAGGTGGGGGACCTTATTCTGCATTGATACCACTTATGACACTTTTTTTCTTCCTCTTTCTCACTCTCTAAAACAAACAGGTTTCTAAGGTGCTATTGGGAGCTCATGCACTCCTGGCCAATGGGTCTGTGATGTCACGGGTAGGGACAGCACAACTGGCCCTTGTGGCTCGAGCCCATAACGTGCCAGTACTTGTCTGCTGTGAAACATACAAGTTCTGTGAGCGTGTGCAGACTGATGCCTTCGTCTCCAATGAGCTCGGTAAGGAGGGCAAGAGTGAAGTTTCCAGGGACCTGAGAAGACTTGAAAAGGAGAGGGGAAATTAACCTACAATTTATTTTCCAAAAGGACAAAAGGGGTATGCCTCTCATTACAGATGACCCTGATGATCTACTGTGTGAACAGGGAGAACATGTGGCCCTGGCCAACTGGCAGAACCACCAGTTCCTACGATTGTTGAATCTGGTCTATGACGTGACTCCCCCAGAACTTGTGGATCTGGTGATCACGGAGCTTGGGATGATTCCTTGCAGTTCTGTGCCTGTTGTCCTACGAGTCAAGAGCAGTGATCAGTGAGGGGGACTTGTAGGGTCAATAAATGGCATACTCCCCACCCTCAGCGACTCTTCTGTTTTTGTACCTGTATTTGTATCTCTTTTTGCATCTCTATCACTTAGCCCTGGCATCCACCTGTATCATTGGCTACTAACCTCAGACCTTTGTGGAGACCTCAGATTACTAGCTCCCTGCCACTGCTTTAGGGCCAAAGTGAAGTTCAGAATGGAGACCAAAAACCATCCATGTCAGGCCAGCTAGTGGCATAGCAGTTAAGGTAGCTGAATCTCATAGGATCGACCTCACAGTTTTGAGTCCCAGATCAGAGGCTTGAGAGACATGCTGGTCATGTATGTGTACCCAAAATCCTGAAAGGAGGGAGAGGTAGTGGAGGGGGATTGTGGCTTGGCTGTTCCCTCATAGAGGTTGCTTTCTCATTTTCTGTTTCTCTCTCTCTCTCTCTGTCTCTGTCTCTGTCTCTAGCGCACACATGCCCTCTGGCAAAACAAAACCTATCCAAATCAACAATCATTTATTGAGCATCTACATGCCAGATACTGAACTAGGTATGAGAAGTAATATAAGAACAGGTGAGTCCTGGGACCAGCAGTTAGCGTAATGGCTATGTCACTGGACTCCCATGTCGTCGACTGCGGTTTGAGTCCTGGACCCAGTGGCTTAAAGCTCATGCCGGACACATGTGTGTGCATGCCCAAGATCCTGAAAGAATGGAGGAGAAGGGACTGTGGCGTGGCCATCCCCCCTGGGGGGTGATTTCTCGCTTTCTGTCTCTCTGGTGAGCGCACGTGCCCTATGGCAAAAACCTCTCAAAAAAAAAAAAAAAAAAAGAACAAGTGAGCCCTAACCTTAGTAATAGCTAGCATTGAGTACTTAACTGTGCATTAGAAACAGTTCTGAGTCCCTTCTCATCCATTTAGGAAGATTAATACAACTCTGAAGTAAATGAGATTTTACAGATGAGAAAACTTAGGCACAGAGAGTTCGTTACTTACAACAGCTAGCTGGTAGCTAAACCAGGATGCATCTCACACAGTCTGGTTCCAAAAACTGTGCCCTAGAGTTTTATGCTAACTGCCCTTCCAAAGCACTTATGGGGGCTGGCAGGTGGCATAGTGGGTAAAGGTGCTTAGATTCCCACATGACTGACCGCAGTTTGCGTCCCAGACCTGGCAGTTTGCTTTTTCGTTTTCCCTTTTCCTCTCACATCAAATTAAAAAATAATAACAAGTGTAATTAAATAAATCTGTAAACAATGAAAATAAAATTAGTTTAAAAAAACATTTATGGTGTAGGAAGAGACAGTATCTGCAGAATGAGATAAACTCCCTTACTAGTAGCATAAAATTCCTCAGACACAACCAAGGACAATGCCCTAGGTCTGATAAGGTGGGGGAAGACTCTTAAGGACATCAAATCCTAGAGTATGCAGCAAATGATTTCTCAGCTAGAAAAGAAGGGGAAGGCAGATCAGCAGAGGCCATAGCTTGAACACAGAAGAGGCCTTAAAATGAAGGACCAATTTCAAAGTGCAGAGTAGTGGCAGTGAGGCTAGAACTGGAGCTTAAAGCTGAGAGTGATAAAGCTACAAAGGTATAATAGATTGTTGAGAAAGTCATGATGTGTTTTTCTATGTAAAAATGTGTCATGACTTTTTCTCAATCTAATAGCTTGAGATGGGATTAGCTTGGTTAGCTTGTCTCTTTCTCTGTCTCTCTGGTAAGCAAATGTGTCCTATAGCAAAAATCCATTAAAAAAAAAAATCTTGGGGCCAGCAGGTGGTGTGGTTAAGACACTGGACTCACACATGGTTCAAGTCCTAGACCTGGTGGCTTGCTTTCTCACTTTCACTCTGTCTCTGGTGAGTACATGTACACTAGCAAAATTTTTTAAAAGTTCGGGACCAGCAGTTGGTGTAATGGCTACGTCAGTGGACTCCTATGTAGGTGACCATGGTTCAAGTCCCAGACCTGGTGGCTTAAACTCACACCGGGCACATGTGTGTGCGTTCCTAATATCCTAATAAGGAGAATGGAGGAGAAGGGATTGCTGCATGGCCATCCCTGCTGGGGGATGATTTCTCGCTTTCTGTCTCTATGTCTTTCTGGCAAGCGTACACACCCTATAGCAGAAACCTCTCAAAAAAAAAAAGTTAACAATGATTAAATAGAAATGAAATCTTTAAAAAAAAATAGCTTTCCATTTTGTCTACATGGACATGTGTTCTACTGAACATTTTCAAGCAGCATAAAAGCAGCGTGGCTTATAAAAAGAATTCCCATCACCAAATGCTGCAGTAGTTATCCAAATCTGCCACATTTGCTTGCTTTCCTTTTTCCTTGCTGAAGTTGCTTTAGAGCAAATCACATACATCATTTCACTGCTATAAAACTTAAATGCATGTCTCTTGGAACCAGCAATTAGCGTAATGGCTATGTCGCTGGACTCCCACGTAATCGACCGCGGTTCGCGTCCTGGACCTGGTGGCTTAAAACTCACACCGGGCACGTGTGCATGTGTGCCCAAGATCCCGAGAGGAGAATGGAGGAGAAGGGATTGCGGCGTGACCATTCCCCCTGGGGGGTGATTTCTCGCTTTCTGTCTCTATGTCTCTCTCTGTCTGTCTGGCGAGCACACGTGCCCTATAGCAAAAAAAAAAAAAAAAAAAAACCTTAAATGCATGTCTCTTAAAAAATGAAGGCATTGTCCCAGTCACAGTAGAGGGCACTGTTGATGCTACTCTGCAGGCTGAGGCCACATGGGACTCCTGGTTTAATTCCCCACCCTACTAAAAGCCATGTGTGTATAGTCTCAGTTATTGGGAGGCTGAGGCAGGGGGAGCCTGATATACTGAGACCATCTTAAAGAGTGGGAAGGCCAGCCAATGGTGCAGCAGTGAGGCAACTGGACCAACATAGGAAGGTTCCCAGTCCACATCCCAGGGCTCCACTCTATGTACTGTACCATAATGAGGGCAGCAGGTGGCATGGTGGTTATGCTACTGTATTCCACATGGCCCACTCTGGTTTCAGTCCTGGCCCTAGCAGCTCGAAAAACACTTAGGTATTTGTGTGTCTTTGTCCAAAATCTTAAGAGGACAACGGAGAAGGGATTGCAGATTTGGCCATCTCCCCTAGGTGGTGATTTCTCACTTGCTCTGTCTCTCTGTTTCTCTGTCTTCCTCAAGTGCATGAGACCTATGGCCAAACCCACCCCCCCAAAAAAAAAAAAAAACACTTGAAGTGTACCATGTTATCACACTTACTAAATTTACAATACTTTCTTAGCATTATCTAATCCATAATTAAATTGCTTTGTCTCAAAAAATGGCTTTTTTTCTTTGGAGAGGTTTTTGCTATAGGGCGCGTGTGCTCGCCAGACAGACAGAGAGAGACAGAGAAACAGAAAGCGAGAAATCACTCCCCATGGGGATAGCCACACCGCCATCCCTTCTCCTCCGTTGTCCTCTTGGGATCTTGGGTACGCACGCACACACGCCCGGTGTGAATTTTAAGACACTGGGTTCAGGACTTGAACAGCAGTTGACTACATGGGAGTCCAGTGACATAGTCATTACACCAACTGCTGGTCCCGGGGTCCATGCATTTTAAAGTTACCCCAAAACTTTACATTTAGTGGTTTTACCATTGGTGTTTGTTGCCTGGATTATTGTATTGGGTGGTTTAAAATTACTTTCTAATTCTATAATTCTTTCACATTCACTAGCCAATACTCTTCTGTAGAAAAGAACTCTTTCTCATCAGTTTTTCTGAACTGTAATTCAAACTGGAAAGACAGGATAAATGCCTAATTTTTTCACCTGTCAGTTTTCAGGAATTGGCTGCTGATTACTTCCAGTGCTGTACAATGAGTTGTTGTTTTTTATTTTTTGAGAGGTTTTTGCTATAGGACGTGTGTGCTTGTCAAGACAGAGAAAGACAGAGAGACAGTAAGAAATCACTCTGCAGATAGGATGGCCACCAGGTTCGAGACTTGAACCGTGTTTGACTACATGGGAGTCCAGTGACATAGCCATTATGCCAACTGCAGGTCACAGGTTATTGATTTTTTTACTTTCTTTTTAGCAAAAAATTTTTTTCTTTCTTGTCAGAGGGTGTGTGTGCTTGCCAGAGAGGCAGAGGGAGAAAGCACCTCCAGTGGGTCATGGCCACCCTACAATCCCTTCTCCATTACTCCATCCCATCGGTGCTGGGACCAGCTCAGCATGAACACGTTTCTCTGAGTAGGGAAGGCTGTGGATTAGAAATAGATGCAATAACAAACACACAAAGACACACAAGTATAAAAAGGCGAGGATCGGGTGGGGGCACAGCTTCTCTGATGGAAAAGTTGCAACCAGAACTAGCCTTAGGTTTATTCTTTTAAAGGGCAGAAAATGGGGGGAAGGGAAAAATGGGATGCAAAAGGAATGGGGAAGAAGGAAGTGGAATGCACAGAAAATAAGAGGAGAAATCAGAATGCAAAGCCAGTTGTTTTGGGATGTAAATCCTCTCAAGATGTGAAAATGACTGGCTGGCGCTGTATAATTTCTCTGATCTTTTTGGGGGAGACAATCTGATAAACACATGACTTCCTTTAGCCTGATACTGGGCAGTATGGGGTATTGGGTATCAACAACAAAAAGAACCATTAACAACAGGCAAATACTGCTTTCATATGTAAATATTCAATACCCCTACTAGAGTAGCTTACAGAAGCACATAGCTGCATGTGTCTACAAGCCACATGTTTTAATCACGTTTTCAAATTGGCTGCTCTCCACACATCAGGATTCTGGGCATGCAGGCACATGCACCCAGCATATTTTTCAAGTCACCAGCAACAAGGTAAGAATTGTAATCAGGAGTCAGCAGGTGGAATGGCTAAGGTGCTTGGCTCCTACACAGTAGACCACGTTCAAGCTGTGGACCCAACAGCTTGAAAATCAGCCAGGTGAACGTGCGTGTATGCCCTGTGAGGGTGCTTTCTCACTTTTCCTCTCTCTGTGTCTCTCCCCGGTGGGCATATACAACCTGTAGCCATTTTTTTTTTTTTTTTCTAAAAAGGAGGAAAGATATATGTGTACATAAACACTTGGACTCGGGACTAGCAGTTAGCATAATGGCTGTCACTGGACTACCATGTAGTCGACGATGGTTCAAGTCCCGGACCTGGTGGCTTAAACTCTGTGTGTGTGTGTGTTTGTGTGCCCAAGATCCCGGGAGGAGAATGGAGAAGGGATTGTGGTGTGGCCATCCCCTTTGGGAGGTGATTTCTCTGTTTATCTGTTTCTCTTTCTGGTGAACACATGAGCCCTAGAGCAAACCTCCCCCCCACCCCAACAAAAAAATAAAAAAACGAACACTTGGACTTGTAATAGGTCTTGGATGATAACAAGAAATTGGTTAACAGGTGCCTGTATACTTAGAGACAGGTTAAAGTCTTCATATTCATTTAAAAAAATTTTTTTTGGCATAGGGTTGGCAGGTGGTGTGGTGGTTAAGGGTGCTGGACTCACCCGCTCAACTGAGGTTCCAGTCCCTGACCTGGTGGCTTGTTTTCTCACTTTCCCTCTCTCTGATCAAAATTTTAAAAATTAAAACAAAATAATTCTTTAAAATTTTCTTTGGCCATAATTTAAGTCAGATAGCCTTATCTGAAGTTATAGGAATGGAGATCTGTTTCTTCACTACAGAAGCAAATGTTTGGAACAGAGCTGTCTATCAGAGTAACATTTAACACCTAGCTAAAGGGGGATGAAGACACCTAAATCCACTCCAATCTTTGCCAAAAGGGACAAGCTAAGCGGGAACGGGGTAGAATTGGATGCCTACTTTCCTCTTAAGTCTTAGCTTCTGACTCCCAGTTTCGTAAATATTTTGTACAACCATGGGAAAATAGGTGAGATATTTGGGAAGAGAAAAGTTAGTTTACTCCACCCCTTCCTGTCCAAATGAATATACTCCACACTCTGTACCACTGAGTATAGGGGTCGCCTGTGAAATGGATATGGAAACCGGGCAAGGCGGGTAACCAAGACGGAGGTGCGCTTCCCGAATGCTGCGTCCCACATCTCTTCAGGCTTTCCTACTCCTGCTCTTTCCTTTTTCTATCCTGCCTAGGCCGCCTTTCATTGCACTCTGTCCCAGGTCTATCCCAGAAGCCGGAGTTGAGTCCTCGTCTGGCGAGTCAGGAGTTCTTTGTCTCCCGGTCTGCCTCGGGCCGGACGGCGCCAGGGTTGCGGTTATGGCCTCCCAGGTTCAGCTTGGTCTTGGACGGAAAGGAAGGACGCAGCGACCAGGAGCCGGAGCCAGGCCTCAGCGCCCACAGACTCGCGATTCCCGCGGAGGCCACGTGGGCTCTCGCCAGGCCGCGCAGGCGCGCTCGTTCCCTTCTCCACCTCCCATCAGGCCTTGCAGCGCCCGCGGCGCCGCGGGAGACGCCCGAGAGCTCTGTAGGCTCCGAATGGCCGGATGACTCGCGCGCTGCATCATGGAAGATGGAGTCTACCAGAAATCCGAGTCGGCTCGAACTTCCGACCAAGCTCACGTATTTATCTTGTGCACAGAGGCGGGGGAAGAGTAAATGAAGAGCTGCCCCCAGATTTCGTCATAAAACTGCGACCAGACAGGCGGCGCCATCTTCGAACTTGGACTTCCGGAAGGAGTTTGGTAAGGGTGAGTGTACCGCGGCGGGGGTGTGTGGGGGCCCCACAATTATTCCTCCCCCGGCTGTTGCTGTAGCACTAAGAGTTGGGGGACCGACTCCCGCCTCCGCTCTCCCTCCGGCGCACCGCAGGGCGCCCTCCAGCCTCCGCGCTCTTACCGAAAGCCACGGTGCTCCCCGCCGCCCGCCCCAGTGGCCACCGTGCATCCCCCATCTCGTCAAGCCACGCGGCTTGCCCTCTTCCCCGACTCACGCGGAGTCCGGAACGCGGTTGCGGGCCTCCTAGCCTCGGTGCGGCCCACGTAGAGTCCCTCCGAGTGAGCGAACCTACAGTAGTCCTAGTCTTAGAGAAGTCGGGGTTCGCCTCCCGCACAGGCTAGTGGCGAAAGCTGCCCCCCACGGCGGGGCCGGAGAAAGGGCGGGCGAAGGCCACAGGAGGAATTGCGGCTCATTCTCGTCTTTTTGCCGTGTCCTAGCTTTTCCTCGAGGAGGGTCCTCTAACCCCCGGAGTTGTGACCCGCGCGCAGTCAGGGCCAGTTATGTCTCCCTGTCTAGTCCTTTTGTCCCGCGGCAAGTTCGCTGTCTGCGGGCAGAGGTGGCGACTTCAGCCCCACCGGAGGTAACTTTGTCGGAGGCGTGTAGGGTATGGCCAACCTCTTGGGCCCATTGGCTTATTACGCAAATGTAAGTCAATGCTGTGCCCTCGTCAGTATTTTCGCCATCCTTTATTAACTGTACTGTTTTATTTTCTTAACATAATAGTTTTCTTTAAATTGGTTATTTTAAACGTTTAGATGCATTAGTCTCTAAGAAGTATAGATGGAACAATGGGTTTTGTGTTAAAATACAAACACCGTTACGTAAAATTGTTTATTTTCGTTCGGTTAAAATCGTCTTACATGCCACCAGTAACAGCATGGGAACAGTTTACAAAACTATGATTAACCAAGCTGTGTTTAAAGTAATTCCATACTTAAGATGTAGTGTTATCTAATGATTTTAACTTGGCTGAAGAGATGTGATGGCAACCTGGAGCACCACAGGAACCAGACAGGTTGGGGGGCAAATGTTAAGGTTTTGTAAACTCAAGTTCGGATTTTCAAACTTCCTTTCCTTTACTGTGTGTCCACAATTTGTATTGTGAAATAATAATGGAAACTGAGACTCATGCCCTGCTGCTGCCTTCCATGGGAAGTGAATCCTTAGAGGGGTTTTTGGACCTTTAGGAGTCATTCAGTCAACAAAATTAAAAATAATTCTTTGCTTATTGTATACGAGGTTCTGGATATAATAGTGAAGCAATAGGTAAGATCTCTATCTTATGAAACTTTCAAGGAAGTTTACTACTAAAGAAGTAAATTTCCATATCTCCTACATGAAAGTTCCAGCTGGTCTAAGAAGGTACCTGTAAGAGAATACTAAAAAAGCTAGAATCAAATTAAAGAAAATATGTTTATATCTGTGGGGTAGAAAATGCCTTAAAAAAATGAATGATTTATTTAATTTTATTTATTCATTTTAATTTAACCAGAGAGAGAGAGGGAGGGAAAATGAGAAAGCAAGCCACCAGGTCTGGGACTCAAACTGTGGTTGGCCATTTGAGAGTGTCCAGTACCTTAACTAGCATACCACCTGTTGGTCCCCCCCCCCATGCCTTTTTAATGCACAAAACAAAGCCTCCCTGTCCTGTGGTCTACTGGTTAAGGGAGCTGGACTCCACATGGCCCGTTGTGTTTGAAGCCTGGTTAATTACATAAACAAACACCAAGTGTGTGTGCTTCTGTGCCCCAAATTGTCACAGGATACAGAATGGATAAGAAAGGATTATGGCATGACCATGCCCCACGGGGAGTTGTTTTCTACCCACCCCACATCCTTTTCCTGACAAGTGCATACACAACTCTAGGAATATACACACACATGTATGTCTTAAAGAGAAGACTGAGAAATTGAACTCATAACAATTGAAAACTTCATTTAGTAAGAAATATAAGTGAAGTTAAAAGAAATCATAGAGAAAATATCTGAATTATCACTAATTCCACAGATGGATGAGAGAAAATAACCCTATGGTGGTTAACCTAACTCATTATCAGGACAATTCAAGTAAATACAATAAGGAATAATTTTTTTACCCATCAGGTTGGTAGAAATGAGAAAGCGTGGCAAATTTGTGGTAAAATGGATGTTGATACACACTTCATGGGAGTATAAGCGGGTTTTTTGTTCTGGTGTGCTATTTTGGCAGTGTCTGTTAAATACTAAAATGAACATACCCTTCAACACAGTACAGTAATTCCACTTCCAGATAATTATTCTAGAAAAACAATTTTCACTGATATCCTCCATTTCTTCTGTAAAATATCCATACAGAAATGCCCACCACTGCATAGAGAATGCTCGAACTGTGGGCTTTTTTCCTTAGATCTGGTCACTGTGTTCCCACTGTTTAGCTGACTGCTTTCCAAGAGTCATTGTATTGGTTCCCTCAGATTTTTTGGGGGGGGGGGGAGTGGGTTTTTTTCGCCGTAGGGCGCATGCGCTCACCAGACAGAGACAGACAGAAAGCGAGAAATCACCCCCCGGGGGGATGGTCACACCGCAATCCCTTCTCCTCCATTCTCCTCTTGGGATCTTGGGCACTCACACACACGCGCCCAGCGTGAGTTTTAAGCCACTGGGTCCGGGACATGAACTGCCGTCAACTACAGGGGAGTCCAGCGACACAGCCATTACGCTAACTGCTGGTTCCTAGCCCCCAGATTTTCCAGATTTTTTTTTAAAGACAAGTTTTTGTGGGAACCAGCAGTTGGCATGATGGCTGTGTCGCTGGACTCCCCTGTAGTTGACGGCAGTTCATGTCCCGGACCCAGTGGCTTAAAACTCACGCTGGGCGCGTGTGTGTGAGTGCCCAAGATCCCAAGAGGAGAATGGAGGAGAAGGGATTGCGGCGTGACCATCCCCCCTGGGGGGTGATTTCTCGCTTTCTGTCTCTAATGTCTCTCTCTGTCTGTCTGGCGAGCGCACGCGCCCTATAGTGAAAATCTCTCAAAAAAAAAAAAGACAAGTTTTTGTTATAGGGTATGTCTGCTCAACAGAGACACACAGTAAGAACTCACGCCCAAGGCGGGATGGCCATGCTGCAACCCCTTCTCCATTCTCCTCTCAGGATTTTGGGCACACATGAACGGTGTCAGGCATGAGTTTTAAGCCACCCACTTTGGGACTTGGAACTGCAGTCGATGACTGCATGGGAGTCCAGCAACTTAACCATTACGCCATCTGCTGGTCCCAGTTCCCCCAGATGTTTTTTTTTTTTGAGAGGTGTTTTTTTTTCCTATAGGGCGCATGCGCTCACCAGACAGAGAGACACAGAGAGACAGTGAGAAATCAACACCCCAGTGGGGATGGCCACGCCACAATCCCATCTGCATTCTCTTGGGATCTTGGGCACACACACACGCGCGCCCGGCGTGAGTTTAAGCCTCCTGGTCCAGGACTCAAACCGAGGTTGACTACATGGGAATCCAGCGACACAGCCATTACTCTAACTGCTGGTCCCTTTCCCCCTGATTTTAATGTCAGTATTTATATAAATGTTATGTGTATTTAAATTTTAAATGGAGGGACTAGCAGGTGGCATGGTGCTTAAGGCACTGGACACCCCACATAGAGACCACAGTTAGAGACCCGGGCCTGGTGGCTGGCTTGCTTTCTCACTTTCCTTCTCTCTCTCCCTCTGTCTCTCTCTAGTCAAATTAAAATAACTGAATGGATAAAATTCATTTTTTTGGTAAAGACTTGTTTTAATTTTATTCATTTTATTCTCATTTAACTAGATAGAGAGAGAGAGAGAAGGAAAGTGAGACGTGAGAAAGCAAGCCACCAGGTCCAGGACTTGAACCGTGGTCAGCCATGTAGAAGTGTCCAGTACCTTAACCACCATGGCACCTGCTGGTCCCCCATTTATTTCCTTAAATTTGACTAGGGAGGAATGGGGTGGTGAGAAAGCAAGCTGCCAGGTCTGGGACTCGAACTGCAGTTGGCCATGTTGGAGTCCAGTGCCCCTGACCACCATGCCAGCTGCTGGTCCCTAAATAAATAATTCTGTTTAAAAATTTTATTTAATGGAGCAGAAAGATGGCTGTGCTTCTTACTTTTTTTTTTTTTTTTTTTTTTTTAAGAATTATTTTTCAATGGCAGAGACTGAAAGACTGGAGGAAATACAAACATTAAAAATTATTATGGACACTAGAGCCAAAGTGGAAAGAGTTGGGGAGGGGAAGAGTGTAGGAAAGGAAATTTGGGGAAAAAAATGAAGAGGCATATGTGGGACACAGATATGGTTTATTTTATTATTTTATTTTTTTTAGAGGTTTCTGCTATAGGGTGCGTGCGCTCGCCAGACAGACAGACAGACAGATAGAAAGTGAGAAATCACCCCCCAGGGGCATGGCACACTGCAATCCCTTCTCCTCCATTCTCCTCTTGGGATCTTGGGCATGCACGCTCATGTGCCTGGTGTGAGTTTAAGCCACCGGGTCCGGGACGCGAACTGCGGTTGACTACATGGGAGTCCAGCGACATAGCCATTACACTAACTGCTGGTCCCAGATATGGTTTATTATTTGTTGATGAGCATGTGCGTATGTTCTCAATGGGGCTGGACTGAGGTATGTGTCACGCTGGATAAAGTCTCTTTAAAATCTAAAATATGTATAGCAATTAAATGTATAAATTAAAATTAGTAAATAAAAAGTATTTAAAAAGAATGGACAGTATAGAAAAGCAATTAATAACAAATTGTACTGGCGAGAAAGGGGAAGTCTTTTATACTGTTGATGAGAATGGAAATTAGTACAGTTATTATGGAAAACAGAATGGAAGTTCCTCAGAAAACTAAATATAGGACTGGTTCGGTGGCATAGCAGTAATGTACTACTAAAGCACACTGTGTTCATATGGAAGACTGCAGGTTTGGTTCTTGGTCTGACCTGAACAAGCCAGGCAT